ACAATAGGACTTTAAAGCTTGCATTCCAAACATTTATATTCTTAGCCATACTGAAATGAACCATGTTCAATGCTACAATGCAAGACTTTTCCAGAAGCACTTCCTGGTGAGCAAAAAAATAGTATGTCACCACAGCAGTGTGAATGCTGATATTTTGGAATATTTGCAGACCCACGGTTGCCTAAAAATTGCCAGTTTTGCTAATGTAAGTAAATGGCTACATTGCTGAACCGCAGTTGTGTCCATCATTTGTAAACTGCCCCCAGGCATCTGTCTAAACCCCTCGGTGATGCATTCAAATATTAAATACTTTCTATAACACATTTCCAGTTCTTAAGTGTTTTCCCACTTTTGCAAAGACAGATCCTGAGGCTATTCGCCATCATAAATCATTGCAGAGCTATTTCATTTCAGTAGCCTAAAATACTCTGCCAAGGCTAGGCTACAATCAAGGTGAGTTTGAATAAAGGTAGAATTGAAATCATAGTTATTTCAATCATATATTCATTCAAAGTGCTGGTGTTCTCACCAAAGCACTGTCATTAATGGAAGGACAATTGCAGGTAATTGCTGTGGTCGCATAATTGTTACAACCATATTTCAAGTCACTCCTTCATTAAAAATCCATTTGGTTCTCTTTTCATTCCCAGGCTGCCCCACAATTTATTTGATGTCACCTCTGCCTTGAACTTTAATGGTCCTACGATTGTAAAATAACATTAATTATATTTGTCATTAAAATATTGGGAAATGATGCTATTTGAACAGTGTGCATTTTGTAAAAGGGAAAATGGATCTCAGCTTCTTTTAGTTTGTCATTTTATTAGCATAATTCTAAATGTCTGCTTTTGTGGCTTAGGTGAGACTATAGAACTATGGTGGGTCAAGAGACACTTTCCCCCTTGTGGGACTCTCAGAGGCCACATATTGCCAAAACAATTGACAAAGAAAAGATGGCAACCTGCTAATGGCATATGCACATGCAGGTCTCTCCTCCACCTGCAGACATCTTTTGGGGGCACTGTAGAGGTTGGGACTCTGTTTCTCAACACTTACATCCCACTCCTGGGCTTCTCATGCAGCTTCAAAAGTGCCTTCACATGGTCATTCTATGTTGCATAGAAAGCAGGCAGGGTTGGAGAAGCATTTGGTAATATTAATGCTAAGTGATGGAGACATAAGCAAATGCTTCCAGCTGCTTATCAACAGCAAGCAAGGCTGTGATGGAGAAATGTGATGGCCATTCTGCTGATAGTTGCTGTTTTATTTGCTGACAAAAGAAGACTGGAAATGTCATCCCGTTGTGCCCTGATCAGCAGCAGAACAGACATCCATTGGTTGGAGCAGCTTCCTGAAGTTTAAAGGGGGATAGCGGAAGCAATTACAAACATAGGGCCCTTCCACACAGCCCTATATCCCAGAATATCAAGGCAGAAAATCCCACAATTAAATGCTTTGAACTGGGATATCTGAGTCTATGCTCAGATATTGTGGGATTTTTCTGCCTTGATATTCTGGAATAGGAAGGGCCCTTAGTGTTACAATCCTGAATCTATATAAATAAAAATGTAATGTTCATTTGTGGGATTAACATAACTCAAAAACCACTGGATGAATTGACACTAAATTTAGACACAGTATACCTATCAGGCCAATGCTGGAAACCACTGTGGAAGGGACTTAAAAAGCAAAAAGACACTACAGCGCATGCGCAAAAACAACTCCCCACAGCAAACAAAATACACAATAACATATTCACACTCTCTTCCAGATTACAGCTCCCAGGAGAAGAGGATTCTCCAAATGCACTGCTTCCAAGCTGCAAGCTTTCTTCTCCTTGGATTTCTTTGAGAGCATCCCAATCCTTGCATATTTCCAATTTTCTATTCCTGGACTGCAACTCCCAGCAACCATCCAGATAGATCAATTAGATAGAGATAGGTAGGTAGGTAGGTAGGTAGGTAGGTAGGTAGGTAGGTAGATTGATCAGAAGGTAAGGGGTAGAAAGGGAAGAAGAAGAGAAGGGAGGGAGGAGAGAAAAAAGAGAAGGAAGGAGAGAGGGAGAGGAAGAAAGAAAGAGAGGAAGGAAGGAAGGAAGGAAGGAAGGAAGGAAGGAAGGAAGGAAGGAAGGAAGGAAGGAAGGAAGGAAGGAAGGAAGGAAGGGGAGAAAGAGGGAAGGAAGGTTGGCCACAGCAATGTGTGGTGAGTACAGCTAGTATATAATATTACTACATATGAAGCAAGCAAGGAGATATTCTAACACCAGAGATTGAGAAAATGAAGCTGGTGGCATAAGCTTTTGAAGGCTAGGCATGCTTCCTCAATTTTTTTTAATTTTCTATCTCACCTTATGCTCCCAACCTTGATTCCTCGGCTATTTTCAAAGGGGGATCTACACCATAGAATTAATGCAGTTTGAAACCATTTAAACTATCATGGATCAATCCTCTAGGATCATAAGAGTTGTAGCTTTACAATGTCTTCGGGTTCCTTTGCCTCACCAAGAGAGCTGTTGCCTCACCAAACTGCCATTCCTAGGATTCCATAGCAGCAAGCCATAGCAGTTAAAGTTGTATCAAACTGCATTAATTCAACAGTAACATGCTAAAAGATCCCTTTGCGGACTGATCTTCCAGACGAACATGGCTGTATCTTTTTGTTGGAAACAGCAATCCTCTCAACGTTCCACTAGTTATTTGTTATGTATATAATTCAAATTGCTTACTGTATTGTATATGTATGTATTGATTTGCAGTTTTATTTAACTCTTTGTTGTGGGAGGGGTTGCATACCATGTGATTAGGTCTGGGTTTGTTCAGGACTCAGACTCCATTTTAGAAACAGTATACTTTCAGAGGCCAGCAGGAACTGTATGCTTTAGACTTCAGTAGAAATAGTATGCTTAGAGACTTCAGTAGAAACAGATGTCTGCTTTTAGAAGTGAGTAGGAACAGAATGCTGTCCAGAAGCCACTGGACTTTTTAAGAAAGATGCACTGTGTTACCTACACAGAGAAACTAATTCAAATCCTATTTGTAACTGGACTGATAAGCAAAGTACCTATATGCTGAATCCATGAAGTTTGGGAGTAAACCAGCAATATCCTTTTAAAGAAGTCTGCTTATTTTTGTCAATTGAGGGTATGATTTAAAAGCAAATATATTTTAATGGAGAGTAGATGTTTTGGGGCAACTAAAATAACACTTCTGAAACTCTGCTATATATGTGTGCTTTGTGCATTGGCATATCTTTGTCCCTAACCGTTCAAAGACATACCTAGGTACACCAGTTTAACAGCTGAGAAACTGAAATACTTTACATGAATGCCATTTTCCCAAAAGGTTATGGCATCATTTTCAAAAGGTTGTGACCTCTAACAAGGTCGTGCCTTTCCAAAGATCATAAAATCTTCAAAAGGTTCTGGAGATTTCCATTTTCCAAAATCTTTGACAAAACATGAAGCAGTTACAGATCCATAACACTACAATTCTTTAACTGCAATACCGGATGCCAGTCATTATCTTTACAATATTTACAGCAATAATACAAAGGGTATTGTATTAAACCCAACATATAACAAACAGCACAATAGAAACAAAACTCTTGGGATTTTTTTTAATGTTTGAAACTTCTGCGGTGTTTTGGTGTGATGAGTAAATTTCAAATCAATGAACAGTGTCAGCATTTACTTTTTATATTGTGTTCTGTGTACAAACCTAATGAAACATGCTTTAAACAAAAGGAAGAGCATTGCAAACAGAGCTCACAAGATCAGCACAAAAGGATCTTTTGATGAGCGGAAATCATTACATTATTGGCTACTTCCTTCAGCTTCCTTGTTCCTTCTGCTTTTAACTACAGTCCGCATAGTAGCTGGGAAGGAAATTGATATCCCCAATAACAATGCATTGTTGTGAGTTATTTCTTTTTGTAATCCAGAGTCTTTTATGATATGATGGCTTCTTCTTGAATATACAGTTAAGACCCATTTTCTCTCCAAAAGACCTTCTCTTAGAGTTTTAAACGTCAACACAGCTGCATAGCTTTGAGGGTCTTCACTCAGGATGTGATTATGTGAACTACCATAATGAATGCCACTTGACAACTATTGAATAGACATTGTTATAACACACTTCCATGAGGATTTTGGCAGAATTTAATGATCATGCCCACTGAATTATCAGGAGGATAAATGCCTCTAAAATCTAAATACATCCTAAATTTACTTGGGATTTTACTCTGTAATGATTGTAATCATCAAATCAGAGCAAGTGGCCAGAAGGGAATGATGCAGATGTTGCCAAAACCAGCCGATCACTACCTTTGTTACCTTCCTCTACCTGGAGTTAGGCTTAAAGCCAACCTTAGAAACTATGGCATAGACACCAAGAACTGGGAAGCCCTGGCCCTTGAGTGCTCTGACTGGAGGTCAGCTGTGCCCAGAAGTGCTGCAGAATTTGAAGAGGCACGACTGGAGGGCAAAAGGGAGAAATGTGCCAAGAGGAATGCGTGTCAAGCCAACCCTGACCGGGACTGCTTTCCACCTAGAAACGGATGTCCTCACTGCAGGAGAACATGCGGATCAAGAATAGGGCTCCACAGCCCCCTATAAACCCACCACCAAGACACTACACTTGGAGGACCATCATCTTCAGGGTACAAAGAATCACCTGGAGCATGGTACTTCATTTCTGCATATGGGTTTTGAGAAGGAGGAGAGTTGTAACATCCTCTGTTGCTGCTTCAGAACATTTAAATTGGGCAGAGAAACACACCTAACTGATCACTGACAATCCTAGGTTCATGCCATCTTCCTTTACTCATAATGGAAATCTGCCTACAGCACTTAGAAGAAGAAAACAGATTGCCCATTTTTTATTAAATAGTGAAACCAGAACAAGCTTAATGAAAACCTGTCTTAGAAATCTGACACTACAAATTTTCACAATATCTGAAATTTGCTACAGAGGGATGAGTGTTCTGATTATAGTTGTCCTGGACTTTCAGAAAGCAAAGAAAACTTTTGCAAAACAGGCTTTATCACAGGAAACATTTTCAGGCTTTGCAGTACATATCGTATTTCAGTTTTACTCCTAACTTCGTTCCTGTTAAACATTCCTTAAATTTTGCATCCATTTCTTTGTTCTGTTCGTCATTGAAAAGGTCCTTCCAATCTCCTATGGCTCCTGCAACAAGATGGAGGGAGGAAATATGTGACAACAAATGTTTAGCCGACAAACACAATCATTATTTGATAGCCAAGAAAAAAATCGATAACTTTATAAATTAATGACAGCTGGGCATAGCATGGCACAAACAGGCAGTTGGATTGAAGATTGATTTGGACACAGTCACAAAAGCATATCTTCCTTTCTTGGCCAAATCTTTTCCGTCTTGCCTGCAGTATTTCCCTTTCTATAGACCAAAGATTTCTCCTTTGACAAGTATGTAGCTGAATACAAAATACCGCAAGAGAAGAGATGACTGAGTGTATGATTTCCTTGAGGAAGATGACAGGTTCAATTCCTGGAACCTCCTGGAGAGAGTCTTGTCTAATACCTCACAACAAAAAAGTGCCAATCACAACTGAACTATACTCCATCGTTTGAAAAGATGGTCTGAGTCAGCAAAAGGCAGCTTCTGGCATATAGCTCAAAACTAAAGTATGAAGCCCCATCAGAATTAGTGCTATATTGTATATTCTTCCTCTTGCAACTGTGCACCAGTTTCTCTTTTAGATGATAGAAAGATGACCAAAGGTGCATTTCCCCTGCAGAATTCATGCAGTCTGACATCACTTTAACTATCATGGCTCAAGGCTATGGAATAGGAGTTGTAGCTTAACAAGGAGTTGTAGATTGACAAGGAGTTGTAGCTTTACAATTCCTCTGCCCAAGAGCACTGGTGCCTCACCAAATGACAAAATCCATGATTCCATAACATTGAGCCATGTATTGAAGGCAGTTAAGTTGTGCCAAACCACACTAATTGTTCAAGGGAGGTGCACTCTGAGATATAGAATATATATTATTGACCTCAATGTGATGACTTTTAAAAATGTTAAAGGGATTACATTAGATGAGAAAATACAGGGTGTTTCCAAAAGATGGACCTGATTTGAAATCCTTATACCTCTACAACCACGAACTGCCCATGAATGAAACCCACTTGAAAGGGTAGGGCATAGTGTTTCCCAATGCACAACGAGCCCCTCAGTCATTCACAAGATGGCTGCCCTGCAACATAAGGCATTTTGTGTTCTGTAGTTCAGCAAGACTGAATTTGTAATTGAGGTGCAATGTGCATTTCAAGAGTATTTTGGCACTGATGACTTAGTAATAGTAGTTACAAACTGTTTGTAACTTTTTGTGTAATTGTGACATCTTGTCATTGTGAAATATACTGCTTTAAAGCTGGGCCCATTATTTTGAAACACTCTTGTTTACTAGTTAATATGGAATGCTTTAGGAATGAACTACAGAATGCCTCTTCTGCCTTTTTTTAGGCAGAAATTGACTCCCAGAAATTGTTTCCAAAGATGAATAGATCAAGTTGAATTGGGGATCCAGATTAATCCCAGTGCTTTTACCATCGTTTCTACTAGCTGTCATGTGCCCTTTAACACTCTGAAACTATAGTCCTAATTTTTACTTAATAGTAAACCTTCGTGATCCTAGACATGCATAAGATTTCACTATAGCTCATAATAAAATGGAGGAGATCATAACTGTTCACAACTTACTGCTCTTAAACATAATAAAGTAAGAATAATGCTCTGTGTATAAGCCCCTATATTATTTTGAAACAAATTTACCTTTTCGAAAGAGAAGTGGACCAACAGCACCATGTGTCTCCTGTGATCTCTCCCGCATTGCCTCAAAGAAAGCCCTGTCTGCAATTGCCTGGATTTGCTCCGCAGTAGCCATGAAACCAAAGAATTCTGCCATTTGCTTTACTCCAGAAACCAAATCCTAAAAGCAATGTCATGACAAAGTCAATAGAGAAGGCTATTTTTCTGTCAGGTGTGCTTTGGGTGTGTATTCCTGCATGCAGGGGGTTGAACTGGTTGGCCCTTGGTATCTTTTCCAACAGTGCCATGGATTTTGAGAAGCCAAAAATAGAGGGTGAAAGGGAGAGATGTGCGAAGAGCAAACCCTCATCATGACCTCCTTCCACCTAAAAACCTTTATCCTCATTATGACAGACCATGAGGATCCAGAATAGGTCTCTACAGTCACTTGCAGACCCATCACCAGGACTTTAATCTTGGGTGACAATCATGTTCAGCCACAAATGATTGCCTATAGTAATATAGTATTATTCTTCCAACTTTATCATTCTATGATTATCCATCGTAAGACAGATGAACTATTATTGGCTTCAGAATACATAGCCAACACTCAGCCTAGAACTGCTTAGTTTAGCCCAGAATATTGGGGAATTACATCCTCTTGTGGACCTGCTCCCATTTTGCAGACCCTAATTTTTTTTTTACACCAGGAATTTTTCATTGACTTGGAGGCACACAATTTTTAATTATGCAAAAGTCCTCCTGGTCACTGCCGATACCTGGGCATACAGGTTATAATAATAATATTGTTTTGTCGGGTTCAGCACCAAGTCCAGGAGGACCCCCAAACTGAAGATCTGTGTCTTCAGGTAGAGTGTAACCCCATCCAACACAGATTGAATCTCTATTCCCTGGTCTGCCTTCCGACTGACCAGAAGTACTTCTGTCTTATCTGGATTTCAATTTTTTTGCTTTCATTCAGTCCATTACTGGTGACAGGCACTGGTTTAGAGTCAGGACAGCTTCCTTGGCATTAGGTGGAAAGAAGTAGTAGACTTGGGTGTCATCTGCATATAGGTGGCACCAAATGCCAAAACTCTGGGTGACCTCTCCAAGTGGTTTCATGTATATGTTAAACAGTATGGGAGACAAAATGGAACCCCGAGGAACCCCACAGGACAATTGCCAAGGGTTGAAACAGGAGTCCCCAGCACCACCTTCTGGGTTCTGCCCTCCAGGAAGCAACAGAGCCACTGTAAAACAGTGCTTCTTAGTCCCATCCCAGTGAGATGGCCCAAAAGGATACCATGGTCAATGGTATTGTAAGCCACTGAGAGGCCCAGGAGAATCAATAGGGACACACTCCCTCTGTCTAGCTTTCTGTGTAGGTCATCTACCACGGCCATCCACCGAGTGGGGAAACTGCATTGCTCTCCAGATCATTTTGAGTTTGGATTAAAGCGGTTAAGTGTGACAATATTGGAGACAAATGAGAACAGAACACTTTACACCTATTTCTCTATGCAGAAGGATAAGCCTTGCTTGAGATAGTGTATACACCCCACCTGTTTTAATTCTTCATAGGTCAGAATCAGAACATTTTCATCATCTATGTGTTGGTTCCAGGTAACTGCTTGGTCAAAATAGGATCCTCAGCCAACTGCAAATTAGGGATCAATTAATACATCAGAAGGACTCATACTACTATCAAAAACTATCAAAATTTTAGCAGTAGTTTATTTAAAAACTATTGTCATTGTATTAATGTAATATTTGGGCACTGTCCAATCTTGCACTCATAACATTTTGGTTCCTCAAGAGGACTTCCCCTTTCTTTCCCACGGGGTCTGAGAGATCCATTATAGAAATAGTGTCCACTAATTATAAACATTAGAAATAGAGTACCTTGCCCATTCATAAACTGTTGAAAAAACTCCTCCCAAGAGTTGTAACTGGGAATGCTAGGAACATTGTTATGGAACTGGAAAAATGATGCAGCTGTATCTTTAGGATTTCGAAAGAGCACCAACACCTAAGGTGAAAAAACAAGATAGCAAATTTCAGGTGTTCTTAATGTGGAGAAAAACAATACTCCCAAAGGAATCCCAGTTCACAATCTATACAGGTGCTTTGTGCTGCTTAAGCTATAGTCAGAAATAAGTGGTTCCTGTGTAGGAGAGTAACAGCCTCAGGTAATGGCCATCATCATGTCTTGAGAGCCCTCAAAATGCACAATCTCAGGCATTCTTGCGTCTCTAACATTATATTCCTAGGGTGAGCATATTTATGGTCATCCTGGTCCAGTTTCTAAGTATGAGACTCCAATAAGCAAAGAAAGCTCTCAAAAGTGCACTTTCTTTGTACAAAGCTATAAGATACTCCATATACTGTATTTCCAGCACATACATATGTTCCACATGGAGTATTTAATACTCTTATATTTTAGGGATAAGAGTATATGACATGAAAAATTCCAGTATGACTTAACTTTTTTATATTTTGCATTATCATTAATACCTAGTCTTAGAAGGCTCATGTGAACTATTTACTCAAGTTATAAATCACTTAAGTAAATCACAGTGATAGTGCCCATCAGCTACAGTGACAAGATTTTCTGCCCTCCACTTTTTCTTGCGTCTAAAAAACACTCTAGAGGGCCAAACAACCAATTGGAGCACATTCTCAGCGGACAGGGAAAGGGAACCTGTAGGAAATGGCTTCATTCCTTCTCATTGCCTAGACCAGTGATTCCCAACCTGTGGGCCGTGACCCAGCAGTGGGCCATGAGAATGAAAATCCGGTCAGCGAATCTCCTTCCTCTTCATTTATTTTATTTCCACTCCTTTCCACAGAGTTGACCAGACCCACCTCTTTTGGTACTATTGTTGTGGAGCGGTCCCTGGTCAAAGTGGACCCTGGTCAAGTGGGCCCTGGTCAAAGTGGGCCCTGCTCAAAAAAAAGGTTGGGAACAACTGGCCTAGACAAAAACATTTAAGTTAATGAAACAGCCCTTTTAGATCATCCGACACATCCAGGCCCTTGTCTCCAGACTTACCATAAAAGAGGATGCTCTCATTCAAGATGAACACCTACCTTAGCTTTATTTTTAAAGATGGTCTTGGGAAGATGGTTATAATGGAGGTGCGTAGCCACAATCCGTGGAGATGGTAACTTTTTCATCCTCTTTTTTTAAACAAATGAACATAAAATATCAAATGTGTGAGTCATATACACAGCAGTGATCATCTCTTGTTGATTCCCAGTAATCAAAGTGCAGCTCATCAAGTGTTGGACTGCAGCAGGATGTCTGCAGTAAACAGCATAATAAAACTTGAATTGGGAAAGAATAGGATTCTGCAATAGGCAAGGTAAACAGCAGCTACATCCAAATCTCATACTGACCATGAGTGAACCAAAAGTCAGAAAGAAAAGAGGAATCAGATGCATCTGCTCACCAGTATGTCAACAGGCATATTTAAAAGGCACAGATGTATAAAATTGAAATTGAGGCTAAGAAAATTGAGGCTAAGAAAAATTGAGGCTAAGAAAACAAAAGTCATTTCTGGACACATTTTGGAAGAAACTGTCATCTGGTCTCTAAAAAGTTCAAAATGTTGTGTGTTTTTTTTAATATGTGAGGTTTATCTGAGTTCCCTTCCATGCAGCTGAATAAAATCCCACATTATCTGCTTTGATCTGGGATATATGGCAGTGTGGGCTCAGATATTCCAGTTCAAAGAATATATTGTGGGATTTTCTGCTTTGATATTCTGGGTTATATGGCTGTGTGGAAGGGCCCTTAATGATTTTATTTCACATGTACATTTTGGGGGGTTGGGGGGGGGAAAATTTACTGAAACATTTACCAAACTTTCTGTGCTATAGGAACGTATGCCGTTTCTTGCTGTGTTATTCTTGCTTCTGGTACCAAATTTTTCTGTTAAAGAAGTAATGTCTAGGAACATTTCTGTTCCCTTAATTGAGGTATACCTGTACCACTATATGTCAGACACTTAGGTTCTGAAGAGGAAAAATCAGAAAGTGGTTGTGTAGTTGTTTTGTTAAGCTTAATTTTCATGTACATTCGTGCTTTGCAGCTTGAACTGACCTCATACTTCTCTGGATCGCCACACTCAAGAAATGGCAATTCTGTGTTCTCAGCCTTAGTTTTCGAAGTTGTGGCTATTAAATCATTTACAATCTGAATGAGCCAATGAATCCCTGAAGCAAAGAAACAAGAAACATTTTCACTAGATTGCAATTGTTATTTGGAGGTAGTGCAAATGGACACTTACCACAGAGTTTCAGTAAAACAAGGCTGCAGCTTTATCACCTTTGGCCAAATAATATTGGCAGAATAACACAGAAATCCTGAGATTGGATAATCTATTAACCCAATACTGAACAGTCAAGGAGAAGCAAGGGTAATGGGCTTCAGGCTTCTGAATATCGAGTAATATGTGGATTGGTCCAATTAATAAAATCCAGGGTGTGAGTAATTGTAGCTATTAGTTATCAAATTACACTAAATATCTCATCATTCATTCTGTTGGCTGATGGGAGTTTTAGTACAAAAACACAATTTCCTATATAGACAGAATTCTGTGAATTTTATATTGTTGTGAGCCACTCTGAGTCTCTGTGGGGAGAGGGAGTAGGATATAAATAAAGCTATTATTATTATTATTATTATTATCATCATCATCATCATCATCATCAGAAGGAATGCTACTCTTTTAAAGTGAACCGCGCGGCTCAAAAGGAAAAGGTCAATGAGATACAGCTTAAGGCAGCAGTCCTATACACACTTTGCCTACAAGGAAGTGAAATTGAATTCATTGCTATAAAGCAGTGGTTCCTAACCTGTGGTCCACAAGAACTAAAATATGGTCCACGGCCTCACTGTTACTACTACAGATAATAACACAGTCCAACAAAAAATAATCTTGGTGCCTTCACTTTTAGACCTGTTCCTTGGATTATTTGGGGTGGTGATTCAAAAATTGCATTTGATAGACCACATCAGGTCTTGATTATGAAATATGGGGTGAGCAGATGGCAACTAATAGATGGCATATATTCTGTATCAGAAACTAGAGCTGATGTGGTCTATCTAATGCAATTTTCTGAATAAGCACCCCAAATAATCAAACTGAATCTAAAATTGACTAAAAACTGATTCGTAACCCTTTTGGTACTAATGTTGGAGAGTAGTCCCTGGTCAAGCGTTCCCTAGTCAAAGTGGTCCCTGGTCAAAAAAAGGTTGGGAACCACTGCTATAAAGTATTGCAGCAGAAATTACCATATAAGAGAGGGATAGAGCACTGCGCACTCACTTATCATATTTAACTAGTGAGGAGAGTGAGAGGATTTTAGAGATGGTAGAAACCTATCAGCTGAAAGTAAAAAGTATTAACATTCCTCATTCACCCAACCCAAAATGTGAATGTGTTGTCAAGACTTTACTGGCAAGGGAGTGAATGGAATAAATGTTTGAAAAATTGACAGATGTCAATAACCAAACCTTTATAGAAGCCACTCATCTGCCTTGGATGGAAATCCATGGCTTTAATTCTAAGTGACAAGAAGGCAAGCTATCCATACTGCATTGTATGAGTCTATACTGACCATATCATGCAGTTTCAAAACAGCATTCTATGGCAGTGTAGATGGTTTGTAGTTTATTCTTTCAGTCACTTCTGACTCTTCGTGGCCTCATGAGCCAGCCAATACAAGAGCTCCCTGTTGACTGTGGCCACCCCCAGCTCCCTCAAGGTCAAGCCAGTCACTTCAAGGATACCATACATCCAACTTGCCCTTGGTCGGCCCCTCTTCCTTTTTCCTTCTCTACTCTTCACTACTTTATCAAGATTGGTCATTGCTCTCCTCCCAAGAAGTTTGAAAAACTTAGAGTACTATCTATCCAAAATGTTTTATGGAAAGATTTGCACTGAAGTTGATCAGGGCAAAAGCTAAGTGGTCAGCCGGTTCCTGTTGCAACACAGTATCTTTCTCTTTCAGGCTTCAAAGTGCATTAAAACAAACCTTACAATAAAGCTTGGTGATAATACTTTAATCATTCACATAACATTGTATCGACTGCTTTCCCAGGGATCACCTCTTTGCAATGGCTGGCACAATGCAGCAGCTAATTAATCCTAACTAATCTGTCAAGAAAAGACCTTTTCCAGTGGTTTTCGAGTGCATTAGAAAGGAAAGCTTGACTGTGCTTTTCTCTTTGTAAATCTTTAATACAGAGAGAACATATTTTCCTGTTTGGAAATTAAGACAGATACGTTCAATAAAGAAGAATAAAGTAAAATGGGGGGATTATTTGTTCACTCTTACTTTGGGAGGCAGGACATGGTACAATTAATCTGACCTATTTGCTTCTAAACAGAAGAGCAGAGTGGAGGGTGAGCCCTAGCATTACAACAACTAGGAAGCAAAAAGGAGACTAACAAAAAAGGAGAGTCTTTGCAAGCTGCAGCAACAAATCAATTATTGCTGGAGACTTCCTCCCAGTCTTTCCCTCTTGCCAAGAACTGGGCCCATTAGAACAGTGAATCCGCACCCTCATCTCACCATTGCAGGTGACTCACAAAAGTGGAAACAACCCTAATCTGCTAAGGCAAAATAATCTTAAGGTTGTATTCACTGCATTTCGGATAGGACACCAACACCATATCGTCTATTCTGCTTTCAAATGCCTCCAAGGCTTGAAATGTTTCCGCACTGCACACGGTGGATGGGTAGAGTGTGCCTCGATAGGAAAAGAGAAGTTCATTCATGCCGAGGCCTTTGGTTTTCTCTAAGGCTTTCTCTATTTCTCCTACAAATGTTTTCTCAGCCATGGTTGACCTTCCCTGTTGTAAGCAGTTGGAGAGTTGTTAGGAGAGCAAATAGCTTTAAATGGGATATTTTGAGAGGAGGAGTCGCCATTCCTGGCACTGGGTTTATCCTTTTGTATTAGGGTATTTTTCAGAACCAGCCTTCAAGAACAGATCGATTTCCTCATCTCCTCCTTTTTGTTGATGACAAAAACAACCCATTGGTGCAGACTTTGTACTCTTCATACTTTGGAGGTAATCTCCGCTAAAGCTGAGCAATGTTGGCAAGCCAAAGCACAACGGATATGAAACTTGAAGTTGTTTGGCAGGCATTTGAGACCAGATTTTGCATTTAAACTTACATAATAAAAACACCCCAGGATAAGCATTATTTTTCAAAATTCTTATTTAATAATATTTATTTAATTTGTGAATCCGTTGCCATCCTATTTTCAGCTACTTTTCACATGTTCCAGTTTTTATCCCCGCAGCCTTTATTCTTAGCTTACTTCAATTGCTGCAAAGAGAGTTGCACCTCCACTGCATAATTAATGCAGTTTGACACCACTTATAATCATAGAATCATTGTGTTGGGAGAGACCTTGTGGGCCATCCAGTCCAATCCCTTTCTGCCAAGAAGCTGAAATATTGCATTCAAAGCATCCCTGACAGATGGCCATCTAGCCTCTGCTTAAAAGCCTCCAAGAAAGGAGACTACACCACACTCTGGGGCAGAGAGTTCCACTGCTGAACAGCTCTCACAGTCACTTTAACTGCTGTGGCTCGATGCCATAGAATCCTGGGAGTTGTAGATTTACAGGCTCTTTAGCCTTATTTATTTATTTACTATACTTATACCCCGCCCTTCTCACCCCCAAAGAGGGACTCAGAGTGGCTTACAAACTATGGCAATAACTCAATGCCAGATTGAGACAATAACAATATCAGTAAAACGCTATATTATATTACATTATATTATATTGACAAGCTGGAATGTGTCCAGCTATGATTCTATAAAACTGATATATATATATACACACACACACACATCAATTGAAATAGTCTTTCAAACGATTAAAACATATCAATCATATCAAAAGTCTTATCTTACAAACTGAGCTTTGTAAACATTGAACCAATTGCTTTGCTGTTCTTACGTCATACTTATGGGCTTGCTTGCTTACATAGCCAGGTCTTAAGATACTTCCTGAAGCTTAAGCGTGAGCACTCTTTGACAGCCTTCTCTAAAGGCTAAAACCCTCTGAGGACCCAGAGGTTGAGAACCACTGTTTTAAACCATTCTGAACTATTTTAAACCGTTTCAATCTGTCTTCTTTTAATTTGTTTAATACATAATTAGGCTTTTAAAACCATTTTAGATGTACATCGCCTTGAGATCTTTAGACAGAGGAGAAAGCATTTAAATAAACAAATAAAACTTAACACAAAGAAAAGTTCCAGAATTTCACAACTGAATCAGGCATTTTCCTGATAACCCTGTGTTTTTTAATGGACGCTTTTTACGGATTTAATTAGTTTAATGGGTTTGGTTTTTGTAATTTTTGTTTTATTATACTGATTTTTAAAATGAAAAGGGATATGCATTTTGCAAAGCGGATTTCTGATTTCCCCCCCCCCCCTTGCAGGATTATGACCTGGATGCACCTTGAGCAACAAATGAAACTCTCCTATCATAACTGGCATGGGCAAACTTTGGCCCTCCAGGTGTTTTGGACTTCAACTTCCACAATACTTATATACAATATTTTCTTATATCAAAATAAAGGTTTCTGGTAATATTTAAAAGATTTTCTCTTTTAGGAGGAAACCATGAAAATGAACAAAATCTGGCTACCAATATTAAGAAAATTCTAAAATTACAACAGCAAAACAACAGAGAGTAAACAATCTGGCACATCTAATCACCTCTCAACAAAAGATTCCCCCAGGCACTGCCAAGCCATCAAATGCTAATTAAGGTGGTCAGTTGAAACATTCACACCTAGCTCCAGCAGACAAGAGTTCTTTGTCCCACCCTGGTCATTCCACAGATATATAAACCCATTTTCCTATTTCCAACAGGCCCCACTACCTCTGAGGATGCTTGCCATAGATGCAGGCGAAACGTCAGGAGAAAATGCCTCTAGAACATGGCCATATAACCCGGAAAAACCTACAACAACCCAGATTTTCTCTTTATTTCCAAACCTACTACATTACACAAAACACTCAGACAACAGGAATAGATGAAATAAGGAAGACTTTTGTGGGTTCAGGATGCTAAGGGACAGCTAAGGTTCCTCTGAGGGAGAAAAGTCTTCTCGTCCAAGATAAAAATGTTTGGGAACTGCTGATCTAAGCATTTGGTACTTTTTGCCTCCCATCCAAACACTATCCAGGGGTGGCCCTGCTTAGCTTCCAGGATCAGACACAATCTGGTGCCTTTAGAGTATTTAAGTCATACAGTAAGTTGTTATTTACACTTTTTGATGTTCCTTTCCAGGAGAAAGTGTAAATTTGTTATCGGATTGCCATCAAGTCGCTTCTAGTGTGAGAGAATTAGCCGTCTTCAAGGATATTGCCCAGGGAACGCCCGGATGTTTTTTGATGCTTTCCCATCCTTGTGGCAGGTTTCTGTCATGTCCCTGCATGGGGAGCCGGAGCTGACAAAGGGAGCTCATCCGCGCTCCACTCGGATTCGAACCTGCGACTTGTGGGTGTTCAGTTCTGCCAGCACAAGGGTTTAACCCATTGCGCCACCAGGGGCTCTTTGGTGAAATTCTGAAACAACCCTAGCGCGTCATCTGTTACTATGCAGATTGTTAAATTTCAATAAACTGTAATGCGCATGCGTAGATTTCGGAGGCAGTGTAAGAGGTCTTCGGTACCCTTGCCCTGCGCAGGCGCAGTTGTATCCTTCCGCCTGGAGAAGGATACAATCAAGAGAGAAACGCATGGAAGACTGAGAGTCGAAAGGTTGCCTCGTGCCTTTCGCTTCGCAGTGCGCATGTGCTCTTGTTGGTAAGCCTTGCTTGGATTCTTCGAGACGGCGCGAGGCTTTGTCACTCTGAGGGGAAAAACACCACTGGGGCAAACGAGCGGATGGTAGAAGGAGGGGCGTGGCCAAGCAGTGACGCAATGACGTTCCCTGCTGCTCCTCTCGTGTCGTCGATGACTRAGTTGGGCCCCCGATGAGACTGCGCATGCGCAGTGTGCCTAGCATGGCCTGAGCCATTTAAGCGTTCACAAACCAGTGCTTTCCTTAATTGACAGTGGAGTGGTGCTGCCCTGTATTTGCAGGCTGACCGGGGGGGGGGGAGGCAAAGGAAAGGGCCCGAGGCTGTTAGGAATTGTGGGAGTAGAAGTCCAAAACACCTGGGGGGAGGGCYCAAGTTTGCTCTTGCCTGCCCTGCAGTGTAGATGCACCCTTACACAGCTTTGCTCACACATAGGATTCAAGGTGTATTCTGCATTAGGTTTCTCTCAAGTGTGGGCCTGAGTGCCACTTCAATCTGGCCTGATGGCTTTTCACCCAAAGGTACCAAATGTCCAAATTGAAATGCAGGTTTTGAGATGAGCTCAGAGGCCCTGTTGCAACCGATTCTCAAATGCACCTTCCTCTAGTCAATGCATGGCGGATACTTATTAATAGTATTGCAGTAGTACAGTGGGTTAAGGCGCTGAGTTGCTGAACTTGCTGACCGAAAGGTCACAGGTTTGAATCCGGGGAGCGGTGTGAGCTCCCACTGTTAGCCCCAGCTTCTGCCAACCTAGAAGTTCGAAAACATGCAAACGTGAGATCAATAGGTACCGCTCTGGTGGGAAAGTAACAACGCTCTGTGCAGTCATGCCGGTCACATGACCTCGGAGGTGTCTGCGGACAATGCCGGCTTTTCGGCTTAGAAATTGAGATGAGCACCAACCCCCCAGAGTCGGACACGACTGGACTTAATTTGTCGGGAAAAACTTTACCATAATAGCAGCTTTTGTTTGGTGATCAAGATGATATATATCCTGCTACTAGTTTAGTACTGAGCTTTGACATATGTTAATTTGTTTACTGTATCAGAAGCAAACCGAGGGTAATGTATTTAAATAAACAAAAAGTTTTAAAAAATTGGCATTATACTATTTATCATATCAGGAGCGAACCAATGTGTTTGAGAAAACACAAAGTTTTAAAACTTGGCATTCTATTAAATGTCCTTTGACCAGTAACTGGCCACTTGGAGTGTCTCTGTTGTTGCTGTAAGAAGGTCTTCCATTGTGCATATGGCAGGACTCAGACTGCATTGTAATATGTGCTCTGTGGTTTGCTCTTCTCCACACTCACATGTTGTGGACTCCACTTTGTGGCCCCGTTTTTTAAGGTTGGCTCTGCATCTCGTACTACCATAGCGCAGTCTGGTCAGCGCCTTCCAAGTCGCCCAGTCTTCTCTGTGCCATGGGGGAAGTCTGTAGATCTTAAAAAACTATTTCTTGTTTTAAGGTATTGGCGTGCTGGCCGATATCCGAACAGAGGATGGACTGGAGATGTCACAGCCTTGGTCCTTTCATTATTGACTGCTACTTCCTGGTGGATGTCAGGTGGTGCAATTCTGGCTAAACAGTATAATTTCTCCAGTAGTATAGGGCATAAGCATCCTGTGATAATGTGGTGTTTCTCATTAAGAGCCATAACCACTGTTTTAATATGGTGAGATGTCCACCCTGGGCATGCGTACTCAGCAGCAGAGTAGCAAAGCTCAAGGGCAGATGTCTTCACTGTGCCTGGTTGTGATCCCCAGGATGTGCCAGTCCGCATTCATATGATAATTGTTTCTAGCAATTAACATACATTAATTTTGATAGCATTTTACACTGTTGAACAGCTCTGACCATCAGGAAATTGCTTCAACCCAAACTTTGCAAAGATAATAGACTGATGCAGACTCTTGTTTTCCTTTCCTTTCAAACATACAAAGTTGCTCCAGCCTCCATTCAGCCAAAGTCAACACAAAGCAATGCTTATTATTTTTATATTGCTCTTTTTTCCTGAACTTTAATATGTTTATCTGCTTCTGTTACTAGACATTGGGGACTGGCTGTGCCATGAACTCTCACTTAGCAAAGAAGATCTTCAAAGGAGTTTTGATTCTGGAATGTCTTGGCGTGGTTGGAGCTTACGCGCTGTATTTCAAAATGGACACAAGTCAAGGTATTTATAAAAAATCTTAATATGCCAGATAACTGTGAAGAGTCTGTGGCTGATAACAGTATGTAACATGATTTGGAGACTAGGAGACTTGGCCCTGGAACAATGGCTTCAAACTACAGAAAGGAGATTCCAACTGAATATGAGGAACAACTTCCTGACTGTCAGAGCTGTTCAGCAGTGGAACTCTCTGCCACAAAGTGTAGTGGAGACTCCTTCTTTGGTGGCTTTTAAACAGAGGCTGGATGGCTATCTGTCAGGGGTGCTTTGAATGTGATTTTCCTGCTTCTTGGCAGAGTGTTGGACTGGATGGCCCACAAGATCTCTTCCAACTCCATGATTCTGTTATTTGTTTTTCCTGGATTTCCATTTGGAAAGGCTGTCTTGCTCATTTTATAATCCCCATTTTTGTTTTCACCCATAGATAATTCTACTTTTTTATATAGAGCCAAGGTACGTGTGTCCACCTTTCATAGCTTCCTTAACTTCTAGGGGTTAAGCAGAAAACAGAAACATTAAGGAAATCTGAAGTAACTTCAAATCCTTCCATTTAAAAGAAGTATACCAAGACTGTATTAGAAGTTTCCTTGTCCTACTCAGCACATCCAGTTCAGATTTGTCTTTTAATAATGAGCTATGAATTCTAGCCTGACACGGGGATCTTTACAATAAGGCACATGTGTCAAAGTCGGGGCCTGCGGTCCGAATCCAAGCCACTTCATTTTATGTGGCCCTCCAGATGCTGGACTCCAAATCTTGTTTTCCTCATTATTAGACATCATGATAGAGCTGATGGGAGTTGGGATAAGTAACATCTAGAAAGCTGCAGTTTGTCCTGTTTAGTCAGGATAATGGGATTTGCATCAAGATACAAAGCTTGTGAATATATTTTAACTGATTTTAAAATGTCTTTAAATCTTTCCCCGAGAGCCAAAAGTGCTTTTGGGTTGCAATTCCCATTATCCTCAGTCCACAAGGCAGATAAACAAATGTGATGGGAGTTGTCATTCAGTAACATCTGGGGACCCAAACTGGGTAGATTAAAAAACACCAACCACTACATAGAAGGATTATAGTTGGCCCTCTGTGTCCATGGATTCAATGGCCCTTTGAAGGCAACTCTAAGACTGATGTGGTCCTTGATGAAAATAAGTTTGACATTCCTTAGATAAAGCAATGCCTGAAATATCTTTAACTTATCCAGAGCCGCGGTGGCACAATGAGTTAAACCCTTGTGCTGGCTGAACTGCTGACCTGAAGGTCAACGGTTTAAATCCGCGAGACGGGGTCAGCTCCAGCTTCTCATGCAGGGACATGAGAGAAGCCTCCCACAGGATGGTAACACATCTGGGTGTCCCTTGGGCAATATCTCTAGAGACAGTCAATTCTCTCACACCAAAAGCGACTTGCCATTTCTCAAGTCACTTCTGGCATGATAAAAAAAAAAACCTTAACACATTGTGATGCTTTTGGGAATAACACAGTGATTAAGCTTCAGGGGAAAAATAATAAATACCGATATGTTAGAAAAAGTAATTATGTGAAATTATATGCCATTTAACTGTTGAAATTAAAGCCTAATCAGTGTCACAAATGTACTTTCTTCTTCCTTCAGAATTCAGGCAAAAAATGGACAGGAGATACCCTTCTATCCTGGAAGGTATGTTTTAGTAATTTGTTACTAAAAGCGTAGTTTCCCATCAACCCTTTTAATAACATTTCAGTGCAGAAAGAAATCTGTTTCCACAAAGTTGTATGCTCAAAAATCCATCTATCATTCTTTCTTGAATAAAATAAGACACTTCTATCTTCACAGTTTATTACAAAAGTAACGAGTGGTCTGGTATATATGGCAAAAGGGAGCAGGATGCAGAGACATGGTTAAGCAACAGAAACTAGATGTAAGTAAAACAAAATTTAAAATAGTTTATATAAAAATGGGATTATATTTATTTTTTGTTCTTTCTGACTCTGTTTTTCAGCGGTTTGTGCCTGAACTTCTTTTTCTGCTTGATGATACTTTTCACATCTTTGTTGTGAATCCACTTGTCGCGTTCTGCCTCCCACTTGAGCTGTTTGAAATCTAATGGAAGAAGAAAAGAAACAAGTTAAATACATTAATGGACTAACTAGATCCCTTGGAACATTTGACACTGAAGTTTTATATGCATTTGAAGAAGGCTGCATAAGTTATTAGACAAAAAAACATGAATGAGGCATAACAACTACAAGATGCTTGGCACAATGTTCCACAAAAAACTCTTCTGTTTATAAGTCTATCCAAACTTAAGTATTTTACATTGTAGTAGTGTTTGATGAAATGGTCTGGAATACATTTATGCTAGAATAAACAAATCAACCACAAAAATGCTGATTTTCTAAAGTTGCTTCTGAACAGGCAGTGTCACATTTACAACATATGAATTTCAGAAATTCTATAGCTGCTAAGACAATTATTTACACAAATCTTTCAACAGTTCTGCACATATTTTACTATAAAACCTTATCATCATCACCATCATAATCATCATTATTATTGATTAGTGTCATTCAGGAATATACTCCATCCTGTCTCCAGGGCCGGCCCTAGGTAATTTTCAATGGTAAGCAAACATTATTTTGGCGCCCCCTCCCCCCAACCAATCACTGAAAAATAAAACGTAGAAGGTAGAGGTGAATAAAAGAGTTACCTTACAAACCAGAAATTTACTTACAACATTATGTTTATATAGTTACATTACACAAATTAACTTTTTTAAGAATGCAAATATTTTACTAAACTTAGCAACAATTTTAAGTTTTTGTTGTTATTTTTGGTCTACAAGTACTACACAAAGGTTTCCTGGTCATGCTGTCTCTTCAGAGAAGATTTTTCAGACTAGGGGTTTGCTAATAACAGAGAACTCAATCCCATGCTTGTTGGGTCTGTCAATCAGATTTGTTTTGGAGAACGCAGCCCCAGGAGAATAGACACCTCCTTTTTAAGAAAGTGAACTCTTGTCCTTCAAAAGTGCCATGCCAGCCTGGACCATTACAATGGGTGTGGCAACATAGTCAGCCTCTGGCCCCTTCACTTTAGTGGATACTTTAACATCCAGTTTTCCTTAACACAAATAAACCTGAACACTTTTAAAATTAAAAAGAGATTTTTCTGGCTTTCAATTTTGAAAACTCGTGTACTATTATATCTGTTTCCATTTCATCCAACAAGCCATTTTCAATGGCCAAGGTTGCTAGTCCACTCAAGCGCTCTTGACTCAAAGTTGATCTTAAATACGTTTTTATAAGTTTTCTAAGATCTACAGAGACACTCGCTGGAACACCTCAGCAAGCGAGAGTCCAAAAGTGGCAGGCTCAAACCCAGCACCTCAGCCCATGGCTGATACCAGATGAGAGACTCCCCCCTGGGCACACAGAGGACTGGGCGACTTGGAAGGAAAGGAATCACACAGGATCATATTTTTGCAGTCCATTAAGTGTGTTGATGACAAATCAGATAAAGGAATACTGGGGAAATTAATATAAAGCAGTGTGTATAAAGGGACATTACATTTGGTAATCTAATGCAGGCTTTAAAAGGTTTTAAAGATCAAGTCAGGGTCTGCTGCAGTTTTTAGTTTTGGATATGTTTTTTATGGATTTTAACTGAATTTTTAAAATACCAATGATATTTAATTCCATTTTAATGTTTGCATATTTGTGGATTTTAGACTGTACTGAAATGTTTTTAATCTAAGCCAACTTGAGTCTTCTTGGGAAGAGAAAAAGCAGGGTATAAATAAACATAATAATGTGTTGTGGAAGGCTTTCATGGCCAGAATCACTGAGTTGCTGTGAGTTTTCTGGGCTGTATGGCCATGTTCCAGAAGCATTCTCTCCTGACATTTTCCCCACATCTATGGCAGGCAACCTCAGAGGAACAAAATCTGGCTACCAGTACCCTCTAAAATAATCCTCTAAAATCAGAACAATAAATAAAGAGCAACACTAAAAAAGGGGGGAATTCCTGACATGAAGCAATCAGGGCCAGTTAACCGCTCCCAACAAAGGATTCCTGGGCAGCAACTAGCTCGGCTTCGAAGCTGCAAGGCCATTAAATACTCATCAAGATGACCAATTGCAACATTCACACTTACCTCAAGCAGACATGAGTTCTTTTTCCCCCCCTGGACATTCCACAGATATACAAACCCCACTTGCCTAGTTACAAACAGACCTCACAGCCTCTTGAGGATGCCTGCCATAGATGTGGGTGAAACATCAGGTGAGAATGCTTCACCAAGCACCAAAGAGCATTCTGAACTCCACCAATAATAGAACTGAACCAAACTTGGCATACAGGACTTCCATGACTAACAGAAAATACTGGAGAGGGGGTTGGGAAAAATAGACCCTGACATTTGGGAATTGCAGTTTACCAAGCACCAAAGAACATTCTGAGCTCCACCAACAATAGAATTGAACCAAACTTGGCATACAGGACTTCCATGACTAACAGAACATAATGGAGAGGGGGTTGGGAAAAATAGACCCTGACATTTGGGAATTGCAGTTTACCAAGCACCAAAGAACATTCTGAGCTCCACCAACAATAGAATTGAACCAAACTTGGCATACAGGACTTCCATGACTAACAGAAAATACTGGAGAGGGGGTTGGGAAAAAATAGACCCTGACATTTGGGAATTGCAGTTTACCAAGCACCAAAGAACATTCTGAGCTCCACCAACAATAGAATTGAACCAAACTTGGCATACAGGGCTTCCATGACTAACAGAAAATATTGGAGAGGGGGTTGGGAAAAATAGACCCTGACATTTGGGAATTGCAGTTTACCAAGCACCAAAGAACATTCTGAGCTCCACCAACAATAGAATTGAACCAAACTTGGCATATAGGACTTCCATTACCAAATACTAGAGAGGTTTGGGGGAGGCATGTACAAAAGATGACATTTGCAGTACCTTTTGACGAGGCCTCCTTGCTGCCCTGAGAGGGGTCCAGGCTCAGCTGCAGGGAAGGGAAAGCGAAAGCGAAAGAGCCTGGCTGGCTGCCTCCTGGCAGCACGTGGAGGGAGGACTTCCCTCTCGCCTAGTGGGCGGGGCCTGCGCTTCTCCATTAGAAGGCTGTTGAGGGCGCATGGGGCCTGCAGGAGGAGGCGTGGCCTAAGGACAAAACAGCGCCCCCTGGCAAAAAAAGTATTCCGCCACCGCTTACTTCGAGTAATGGACGGGCCGGCCCTGCCTGTCTCATACACTGACTGGCAAATACTGCCTCACTCCTATGGGGAGAACTGTGCCCCCCAAGCCTATATCCAGCCATATAAACATTTCTGGAAAATCAGGATGATGTGTGATGAAAATATCTCTAGCCAGTACTGCCAGGAAAGTTCAAATACACAACTAAACCAGAATGCAGAACCCATATGTGAAAAGTTGAAGCAAAATGTTTGTTTCAAACATATAATCTTAGTGTTGCAATACCTGAATAATAATTATTATAATCACCACCACCACCACCACTACTACTACTACACTTCACCCAAGTTTTATTTCACATGCTTAATATGTAAGCTCCAATAGCAGAGCTTCATTGGGGTTACCCAGAAAGGCCAAGCTGGGTAGAAAGTAATTTTCTGTTACTGCATTTGAACTGTCAGCCTCAAAGAGCTGAGAGTTATAACCACTTCTTTCTATGTCTATGGACAGAAGAGCAAATGGCTTCTTTATCCAGATGTGAGAGAAACTGTAAGTTAATGGTACCATTAATTTCTGTAGAACTTCAATTTTATCTGAGAAACTCAATCCTGCAGCAAAAAATGCTCAAGAAAATCTTTATTAATGCAAAAGATTTGTGCTGCCATGTAGCACACAATTGTTGCCAGGCTTAAGCACACACTAAATCCTGTTTCCAGAAAACTTATTTATTTATGTACCATATTTATACCCCGCCCTTCTCACCCTGTAGGGGATTCCAGGCAGCTTACATATATAGGCAGCAATTCGACGCCACATGGACATACATAGTAAAATAAACATATACATTAAAACAATCATTAAAAACATATCAAATCTTAAAACCACTTATTTAAACTTACATAATCCAATATCATAGTCTGAGGCCATTCCAGGTTGTCATTGCACTAATCCATATTCTCTTATTGCACTGATAGACTACTAACCGAATGGTCCCGCATCCTCATCTTTAGCCTTTTCCTGAATGTCAAGAGGAAGTGGCTGACCTAATTTCATTAGGGAGGGAGATACAAAGCCGAGGGACCACCACTGAGAAGGCCCAGGTCTCTCGTCCCCACCAACTGCGCCTGCAAAGGAGGCGGGACCGAGAGCAGGGCCTTCCCAGAAGATCTTAACCTCCTAGCTGGTTCATAGAGGGAGATACATTTGGACAATATTTAACTTATCTACATGGTATGAAATAATAGGTAATTATTTCCATCATTCGAATTCAAAAAGGTTACACTTATTACACTTATTTCTAATCTAAAGGATTATAGAATAATTTGCACAGAAAAAAGGAGAAGAGAAAGGAAACTTTTATGGAAAAGTTACTTACTTGCATTATCTCTGTTTGCCATTGCATTCATCCCAATACTGTCGAATTTGGACCCAACGTTTTCATCCAGTAAGTACCCAAACTTCAAAATAAACAACATCAAAAAGATTAGTTCTTTGAATATCATCAGAGCAGATCATTTTGATAGAGAAAATAATTTAGTGGCACTTACTTCTTCTGCAGCAGCATGCATGCGAGTATCCTTTTTTCTTTTCTTGCCTTCCTTTGCTGCTTTTAAAATAAATAATAATAGTTCAGCCAACTGTTCCAAATTCGAGTCTTTCTTCTTTTGTAACTTTCAAGAAAACATGTTCCATCCCTCCCCCAGACTTGAAATAAAAATGGCATTAAACTGGCAGCTTCTAATTCTTTTCCTAAGAAAACATTGTATAATATTTAGCAGCTTACCATTGTAAAGTAGTATCATTTGGCATCATAAATTCATTAATTTAACTGAAATTCTAAACAGTACTTGTCCCTAATGGTTAGAAAATTTCAGGTGCTCTAATATTAGAAAACTGTGCATTAATTTTAAAAAGACGAATAAATGCTTTGCATTATTTTGTCTTCCTCCATAGTCTGCATTTCCCCACAAAATTGTATTGCAAGATTCCAGCAACAAAACTATTTTGTTTAAAATACAAATAGATTAATCCTATGAAAATACCAACTTAAAACATTTTAAAACCTATCAAGCAAGCAATAAAATATTAAAATCCAGCACATTTATTTTAAAACCTTCCTTTGGTAAGTCTTATCATTGAAATTAAATCCTTTATTCATACATGCAAAACT